TTCAGTCTCAGTAGGTGGTATGTTTCTAGGAATTTATTCATGTCACCTAGATGATCTGATTTGCTGACCAACAACTATTCATAGTATTCTCTTATAACCCTTTTGATTTCTGTAATTTTGGTTTAATAAACCCTCTTCATTCCTGATTTTAGATATTTGTGTCTTCTCTCTTTTTTCTTATTCATCTAGGTAAAGGTTGGTCAATTTTGTGGATCTCATCAAAGTACCAACTTTTGGTTTCACTGATCATCTATTTTTTTTTTCTATTTTCTATTTCTTTTACCTATGCTCTAATTTTTATTATTTACTTCCTTTGTTAGGTTTGGGCTTATTTTGCTCTTCATTTCCTAGTTTCTTGAAAATGTGTGATTGCAGATTTGAGATCTTTCTTTTTTTATTAATGTACACATTTATAAATGTATTAAATAAATTTTCATTTAAATAAATAAATTTAATTAATTTCCCTTTTAGCAAAAAAAATGGCTTTAATAACCACAAACATAAAAAATAAATTAAAACACTCACATACGCACATGCACAAAAAAAGCCACTGTTTAATCTCAAAGTGATATACCTGAAAGCTGATGGCATATACCCACAAACATTCTAGCCAGAATGGATCCATTCATACATATGGTATTATGATATTTAAAAGGCTTTTTAACAGAAACGTGCCAAATAATTCCCCAAAGACAATGATACATTCACAAAGTAGTATGTTCTTATTTGTAATATAGCAACTGGCTTTTTAAAAGTACTGATACAAGAGCTACACCACGCCAATAACCTCTTGTAGGGGTCTAAAAGATATAGATACATACATACAGATTTAGATATAACTTATTCCATGAAGTCAAAGTTAGATTTTTCCAACTGCATGTTTTATCCATGTGATCACCCTCACCTCATCCCCTAAATGTTCTTTTCTCATTGTCTTTACCTGTCTAAATCCTACTTTCATTCCAAAATAATGTCAGTTCCCACTTAAGAGTCTCTATCACCAATTTCAGCACACAATCCAGTGTTACTACAGTCTACTTCACATATGTATATTCAGTCTCCCCAATTACATTATTTCTGCTCTACAGTAGCTTATTATACCTAACTTCTCTTGTCCAACACAATATAATGCACAAGTCTCAAAATATATTTATTTATATGAACATATTTTCACCTTACTTGGATTAACATGTCTATTGTTACAGTTATAATAACTGGTAAAAATGTCTAGGGATTTGCTTCAAAATAAAGAAAGGGGAAGTAGGTGGAGGTATAGATGAAGCAAGATTGACCACAAGTTGATATCTGTTAAAGTGGTGATGTGTATATTATTGTGGGCAATTTTCTATAATACAAAGTTCATAGAAGTTTGCCTCTCCTATGAGTAACAAAGATCTTCTTAAAGACAGATCCAGGAGTTTTCTTTTTTGTATATTTATCCAGCACAGAGCAGATGAATTTAACTTGACGAAACACTTTTCATTCTTTAGGCAGAACTACCTTTAAATAAAATTTCAACAGCTTTTTGATGGTCCCTTAATTTTATTAATTTTATCATTTTATTAATTCAGATAAAACATACACTCATTCACTATTTACTGGGTACTTGCTTTCCAAGATATCCTGTCTTGTTAAATGTAGGATAACAAAAATAATTCATCCTCTCTAATAAATTAAGAATCTGACTATATCCTCAAGAATCATGACAAAAAGGACAGGGAGGGAAGACAGGGAGATGAAGAAAAAAATAGTAAAAAGCAATAGTAAAAAACTGCAAAATAGTAAAAAAAAAAAGACTATTTCTTAAAGATAGTTTTTAAGAAAGGTATTTAAGGCATCCATGTTTTTAATTAGAAAGAGGGCATACAGCTCAAAAGACTATTTCTTAAAGATACAGTTTTTAAGAAAGGTATTTAAGGCATCCATGTTTTTAATTAGAAAGAGGGCATACAGCTCATTCAAGCTAGACAGGCTTAGAAGTTCTCCTCCCTACTCCATATTACAGATGAGGAAACTAAACCAGAAGGGGGCCGGAGTGGGGTATGACTTTCCTAAAGTTACACATCAAGTTACTAACAAAACCAAAATTAAAACTCAAATCTGCTGCTTCAAGTTCAAAGTAAATTTTCTACATCACAACACTTTTTTGTATACCATATTAACTAATTAAAAAGAATGACTATGTTAGTATTAATATATTCTTTAATTCTATATTATACCATATTAAAAAAAAAGGAAGTAATAAGATAAGTAAAGGGGGGAGGCTGGGAAGAAAATGCAGACAACTGGTAAGATGGCTATGTATGAAGACTATACATACATACCACACTTCCTCAATTATGAGAAACATTTGACTTTAAGACAATAACCATTTCATAAACATTTAGAAATAAATGTTCACACTGTAAAATACATCTTCATTTGAAAAAATACTAAAATGTGAAAACATATGTGTCTAAAGCAAGAAAATGTAATATAATGCACCCTTTAAGATACATAAAATTGCTATCATTTATGTAGAGGCAGTGTCACAAGACACAAAGACTCAGAGCAAGAGTCTCACCTTTTAAGGTAACAGTTACTAAATACCTAAGGCTATGTGGTATTTTTTTTCAATTGTAGGTATTAATATAAATAAGTCCTTCTTGCTATTTGTCTCATATGTAAAAGTTTCAGAGTTACACAAAGCAAGGTTTGAATCCTAGCTCTGCCACTTAGTTTTCCAACCTTTGGAAAGTTACTACCTCCTCTGAGCCTCATTCTCCTCATCCGTAAAATGGGTACACATATTAGAGGATTATATGAGAATAAAATGTGATCACTTATTTAAGGAATACAGTACAGTGCTTGGATGAAGAATTAAATGGAAACACATTAAGCTCCTTCCCACAATTCTAAAAACCAGACTTACAAGAATCCCCCTTCCTTATTTAGGAGACTGTACTGATCCTAGGGCAAATCCTACTAGTTTGCTTGCAAACAACTACTTGATGAGAAAAGCTTATTTTTCTTGATATTTGTCTCTTTTCTTCTTCAAACTGAAAACAAAAAACAATGATGAATCTGGAAGTGTTTAGTTGATCAGTTATGTATAATTTCAGCATTTCAATATTGTTTTACTGAACTGAAACTCTAATCCCATTACAAACACACTGAAGAGAGGAACTACAGAACCAATGTGTGGGAAGAAGGAAGGATATGTGGCCGGAAAAAAAAAAAAAAAAAAAAAAAAAAAAAAACCAGTTAAAATGACTCAATTCTATGAGTAGTTTGTTTTCTTTTAACCATAAATTCATTTATTAAACTCTAAGAAAACAAACATTCAGGAGAGTCAAGACCATATCTCTGTAATTCAGGGTGCTTTAGTAACCTGATCCCTCAGATTAAGCAAATGCCATCTTTCAGTATGGCTTTTCAGTTTCCACCAGTAACAACTCAGTCATTTCCAAGATGGGAACATGTCTATCAAAGTGGCTTACATGGAGTAGGCATTGAAATAAGACTATATTTTCTCCTACCCCAAGTTCGTATTTTAGGAGACTATATTTTCTCGTACCCACATAATCCCTCACTATCATCTCATTTCTGTTGAATGATCTCCTCCCATCATAAAAATAACGATGCTCATTTTTTAAAATTTGGAAATATGCAAAAACTACAAGCACTTTTAAACCACCAATGATCCTTCCAGCCAAAGATTAAAACATTATAAGGGGTCATACCATCATCTTTCCTATGAATTTAACCATAATTGTGATCATACCAAATCTTTCAATTTGAACAGAGTACTTGCTACAAAACAATATTAACTCCAAGTGGTCTTCAAAAAGTTTGTGGAAAGATTCATGTTATCTTTTAATTCTACTTTTCCATGAACTTTTTGAAATACCCTTGTACCAATCCATAATTTAATATCCTCATTCCAGCTTTCTTAATGAAGAAATGAATGAGAATAAATTCACATTACGTTTTTCCTTACTTAATCCAATGGTTTGTTTTCAATCATTATTCTTCTGAGTCTCTCAGATACATATTTTGTTGCTGACCACTTCCTCTTTCTCAAAACTCTTTCTTGCTCAGCATCTACAAAAATCTCTAACCTTTTTTTCTTTACTGGCTCTACTGAAAATGGCTCAGGCCTGACTTTTCAATTTCCTTGTCAACTGTGAATCCCTGGCTCTGAGCACAGTGCCTGGCATCAGGTAGATGCTCAATTAATGTTTACTGACTGGGTTAGACTATATGAAAGCCAACAGGAATCCTGTTGAGAAAAGGACTAAAAAAAAAAAAGTTTACTGACTAATTCTTGACAATCTTGACCTGCCACTTACTAGATCTACATTGGCAAGTCACATCTCTCTGAATCTCAGCTCCCTCTTTTATAAAATATAGACAATCAGAAGAAAATGATACTTGAAAGCTCAAAACACAAAGTTGCAGCCAATAAATTTTGCTATTATTATCAATATAATCTAGTATAGGATTAAAAAATGTTTCTAATTGCCATATATAGTTGACTATAAAATCTACCTCTCAATAAACCAACTTATTTTCACTACGTTCTCTTATCAGAACTATCAAAAAATATTTTTGCACTCTTTCCTTTACTGCCTATCTCCAAACCATCATCAACTATTTTACTTCTTCTCTCCTAGCCACCATACAGAACCACCATTTATAACTAGCTTCAACAACAGGCTTAGTTGGTTTCCACACCTTACATCCCCTAAATCTTCTATTTTTTGGCAGCTGGCTGGTGTGGGGATCTGAACCCTTGACCTTGGTGTTGTAACACCCTGCTCTAACCAACTGAGCTAACCAGCCAGCCCCTCCACACCCTAAATCTTCATTCAAATTTTCAATTCTCCTTAAAAAACATTTAAAATTTTTTATTCTTTTCTACAGTTGCTTATACCATGTACAAATACTGGAATGTCATCCTCATGTCCTCTAATAACCCCTATTCTAACTCCTAGTTCAAATGATGGCTCAAAACTCACCTCTTTCAGGAAACCTTCTCTTGATTAACTGCACACCACTCAGATTACTTCTCTGCTCCAAGTCACCTCAGCACTTAGGTATTCTGTTATATTAAGGGTAAAATGCGATCACAGTGAGTAAACAGTGTTACAGGAAATAACTTCCACAAAATTACTTCTACATCCTAAAGGATGATCCATTAGTTACAATGCTTTGTTGATCTGATTAACAAGGAAACATCCTATACGACAAATGTTCTTTGGTTTCTTTCCTTGACACTATAATTCTTCACAATTCCTTTGTCCATCCTTAAGCAGAAATTATCCCTCCCATTTAAATCCACTGGAAATGTGGTAGTGAACAGCCTTCCTTCCTACTACCTTTCTCTGCCCACAACCCACAAATAAAAATTCCAAAACCTTCAAACAGAAAGGCAGTAGCAGTTACAAACACATAAAACGTCTTCCTTTCCTCTGAGTTAAAAGAACTTCGAACCTATTTAGCCAGAAAACTCTTCCCAAGAAAAATTTCCCAACAAATATAAGACAAAATCAAATTCCACTGCATCAAAACAGTTGATCCTATAGAATAACAGGATTGTACTTACGTTAATTCTCACTTGTGTTACTGTAAGAAAGCTTGCATCACTTATATGCTATATTACACACGCCCAACAAGATTGCTGAGAAACTCCCCTGTAGGGCAGATTTTCCGAGAGTATCTTCTGATACTGTCTTTAAACAAACATTCTATTTTGTTTTAATGTAAAAAATTAAGCAATTCTCCCAGTGTCGTCCAACCAAAAGCAACTCAAGCCATTACTTCTGAGAAGGTGAGTTTGTGTGCCACTAAGATGGACTGTCACGGAGATGGGAGGAGGGATGGAGAGAGAGAACGATTAGCCTCAGTACTGACAGTAAATCTGAGTGTTTGATCCTCAATGAGCAGCGAATGAACCTATGAACCTGCTGTCTCCTACCTGAGACTGAACCTATGAACCTGCTGACTCCTACCTGAGACATTAGACTGTCCCGACACCGCTGAAAGGGACAGCTGTTCTTACTGAACTACTCGTAAAAGACTCACAGCCTTCCGCTACCATACGTAAATCAACCTCCTTGCTCCTTTGTCCCTAAACCGGCCAAACAACGCCTTCTAGTCAAACAGCCTCACCCACACCTCACCTAAAACCTTCTCCTCTCAGTCACCTTCTGGTTTCAGTAGGTGCCTCTTACTCCAGATCCACGTGCCCCCATTTATCCAGAAAACTTAACCTTCAAAACCCAAGCCTGCCCTTCTTTCACTCCCAGCTCATTCCCCCCAACCTTCTCAATGCCTACTTCCAAGAGGCCAACCACACTCGCCAGCCCCGCGCCTTCTCCTGGGCACCCTCTTCTGAGCATCACCCTTTCCCCATCACTTTCTTCCTCCCCAGACCCGGACTCCTTCAATCACAGGCCTCCTTTTGCTGCCATCCTCCCTCGAGCACACGAGCTCGCTCCTCCGTTAACTACCCCGCCCCACCTTCGCCACCTCTACGCGGCCTCCCAACCCTGGCGGCGCCCCGGGGCCCCGCGGCTGCAAACCAGGCCCCCACCCCCGTGCCCCTCGCCGCCCCGGCCCTCCGGAGGGCGG